AAATAAATAAAAAGGCAGGAAAGGAAGAAAAGACCAAAATGGATATCAGAAGAGACTCTGAAACTTTCTCTGGAATGGAGAGTAGCTAAAGCAAATGGAAGAAATGACAAGATAAAAGGGCTGAACAGAAGATTTCAAAGAGCAGCTGAAGAAGACAAAGTCAATTATTATAATGAAATGTGCAAAAACCTGGAGTTAGAAAGGCAAAAGGGATGAACATCCTTGGCATTTCTCAACATGAAAGAATGAAGAAAAAATTCAAGCCTTGAGTCAAAATACTGAAAGATTCTATAGGGAACATTTTCAATGATAGAAGAAACATCAGAAGAAGATGGAAGGAATACAGTTACTGTACCAAAAAGAACTGGTCAGTGTTCATCTATTTCAGGAGGTGGCATATGATCAAAAACTGATATTGAAGGAAGAAGTCGAAGTTTCACTGAAGGAATTGTTAAATAATAATAATAAAAGGTTCCAGGAATTGACAGGATACCCACTGAGATGTTTCAACAAATGGATGCCGAGATGGAGGCACTTACTTGTCTATGCCAGGAAATGGGGAAGACAGCTACCTGGCCAACTGACTGGAAGAGAGCCATATTTGTACCCAATTCAAAGAAAGGTGATCCAAGAGAATGTGGAAATTATCGAACAGTATCATTAATTGGCACGTATGTAAAATCTTGCTGAAGATAATTCAAAAATGGTCACAGAAGTGTATTGACAGAGAACTTCCAGAAATGGAGGCTGGATTCCGAAGAGGACATAAAACAAAGGATATCATTGCTAGTGTCACATGGATCTTGGCTGAAAGCATTTTATTGCCCATGCAAAAGCATTCAATTGTGTGGTTCATATCCAAATGTTATCAAATTATGGATAACATTGAGAAGAATGGGAATCACAGAACACTTAATTGTGCTCATGAGGAACCTATACGTAGACCAAGATGCTGTCACTGGAACAGATACTGCATGGTTTAAAATCAGGAAGGGAGTGCATCAGGTTGTATCCTTTCACCACTCATTCAATCTGTGTGCTGAGCAAATAATCTGAGAAGCTGGACTCGATGAAGAACGCGACATCAAGATGGAGGAAGACTCATTACCAACCTGTCATATGCAGACAACACAACTTTGCTTGCTGAGAGTGAAGATGAGTTAAAGTTCTTACTGATGAAGATTAAAGACTACAATCTGTAGTATGGATTACATCTCAACATAAAGAAAACAAAAATCTTCACAACTGGATCAATAAGCACCATCACAATAAATGGAGAGAAGACTGAATTTGTTAAAGATTTCATATTATTTGGTTTCATGATCAACACTCATGGAAGCAGCAGTCAAGAAATTAGAAGACGTATTGCACTGGGAAAATCTGCTGCAAAAGACCTCTTTAAAATGCTGAAGAGCAAAGATGTCTCTTTGAAGAGTAAGGTGCACCTAACCTCAGCCATGGTGTTTTTAATCACTTCACATGCATGTGAGAGCTGGACAATGAATAAGGAAGACCAAAGAAGAGTTGATGCTTTTGAGTTGTGGTGCTGGTGAAGAATACTCACGGTACCATGGGCTGCCAGGAACTAACAGATCTGTCCTGGAACAAGTGCAGCCAGAATGCTCCTTGGAAGTGAGAATGGCCAGACTT